TTAGAGCATCTCCAATGCTCAATGTTGTAGTGCCAAATTACATTCCATATCAACACATTTATTAATATCATAACTTTTTATCCTCCAATGTACAATGTGATCACAAATATTGTGATGAAGTGGACATAATTAATATCTACAATGTAGAGAAGAATGTGGTTCATCCACATTCTCCTCCACACTCTAGCTAGCCAATGAAGAGAAGAGAGAGACTTGTTATTACCATTTTCAAACTATTTAATTATTTAATTAATTCTATTAATTCATATTAAAATTTTAATATTTGGTAAGTAGATAATATTGTAATTAGACTACATTATGCATTGAAGATGATTTTTTAATTTAATAGTTGTGAACACAACATTTATCCTACATGTATCACAATCTATTTCATTTTTTGACATTTGTCAAAATTTATCTTACAACAACATTAAAACATTGGAGATGCTCTAATAGAGCTGATGTTTGATAGTTGTGGGCTAAAAAAGTTAATTGATAGTTCATCAATTTACACGCGTGCTATGTGATTTGTAAATAATTTACATATACGATTGAAGAGAAAAATCAGCATTAATACGGGATGTATAGCAAATAATTAGTGAAATGTATATTATCAGTTTACCAACCAAAAACGATTCTCTTCCTTAAATTGCGTAATTATTTCTCTTCCAAACAAAAACGATTATCTTTCTAATTATTCTGCAAAAGCACCTATGGACCTTTATTTATAAGCAGCGCTCTTCTCCAATCGTAGCGTTCAATTGCATTAAAGGCTCGAATTTCAAGAAACGTGTCTGCAATCGAAATGACATGCCTTAATTCCAGACAAGAAATACATTTTCATGGTGTGTCGGTGGAATTTCTGGATATAGCTTTCTAGACGACTAAGCGATCTCTTCCTACCTGAAAGCATGGGGCGGCCCCATGTTGCATCTACAAATACTCGATCATGAAAACTTCTGAAAGACGAAGGCCCAGCAGCCCACACAACACTCAAACCGTCTAAAGAATGGCCCAAAGTCACAAGTCTAAGGTTGCCGATCCCTCTCGGAGCCTTCTCGAGGAAGCCTGTCGGTCACTACGAGTATGAATAATGAACTGAAGGCATCGCCCAATCTGTCCCATCGAATTCTGCATGAATACATGAGGCGCCACCCTACGTCCCTAGTTGTCACTTAGCATTAATGCGCCGTCACTTTTTTCATATATAAATACCGATCCTGGGATCCATCATCAACCAATCCCATCACTGTATATCACTACTCCCTTATAGCCTTCTTATAATATGATCTTCAGAGATCAAACACAAGTGCATTTACCATACTCGGCTATATAATCATTGTACAAGTTTCTTAAAAAATTTCGAAGAAACATTCTTCTTGCCAATCCCCACAGTGAAACGGCAATATTTGTGTCTCGCTCTTTTTACTTATGTTTACATTGTCTCTATTCGTTTATATTATCCTCCATTGAAATATACCTTAAATATTTCATTAACCCTCGATTAAACCGTCTTAAAATATATTTTTCGTAACCGCTCGCTGCCCACCGTCAACAAAGGTAACACTCTTGTATAAAAGGGTGGTGTATGATCATCCAAACTCTACACTCATATACTTACAAGCTTTACATATTGCTCATCATCTTCATAAGCATTCTGACTTGATCATCGAGTTCTTTACGTCAGGACCACTCCCAACGCTGTTTTGCAAGTCTATTGAATCGGTCGAGTGGGGATCCAAGAGCCGGTCGAGTTCGTTTGCACACCAGAGAGTAAGTTATTAAACCCCTTATTATAAGGGATCCAAGTTTAATTCTAAACCTAAATTGCCAATAAGTTTCTCAATTACAATACATTTGAGAATAATATTTCTGACATGAGCGTCAGAGTTTCTACGCTGAAGCCTGCCCCCGTCGCTGGTTTGCAAGTTGATTCGGTTCGTAGTGCAGACGATCGAGACGAAGCAGTTCAACCCAAAATTTTGCGGTGAGCCGATATTTCGGGCACATCACGGTTGAATCCAAAAATTTTAGCAAATTTACTTGAAAACCGAACAAAACTTTAGTAGATGCTAAAAAGAAATATCATAATAATATATNTGTCTATACACACTTCCCACCCTTACACCTAAACAGACAACATATTCAAAAACCATTGAACGAAAAGTCACCAAACCCCTGAAACATTTTCTTTAGCAGCACACAAAACAAAAGCACAACCAACTAAAACTCTCCAAAACTCAAGTTGATCTCAACCCCAAACACTTATTAGCATCCCCAATCACATGACCAATCAACCTTCTCCTCCAACTTTCCTCTTTAAACTTCCCATCCTCTTTCCTTAACAGAGACCTCTCCAAATTCCCAATATCCGGGCTCTCGTTGACCGTCACAGTTGACTCAACCACTCGGTCAACCATCTTGAGGACCTCGCTCATCATAGGCCGATTCCTCGGGTGCTTGAGCAGGCACCGGTTGGCAATGGCCGCCAGCCGCTGGGCTGACCTGGGCTCGTACCTTCCGTCGAGCTTTGGGTCTAAGATCTGTTCAAATTTCTTCATGTCTGAGAGGTGGGCCCGGACAAAGTCCAGGAGCATCTGCTCGTTCTTGGGCCTGTTACGGTCCAGTGGGCGTCGGCCCGTTATGAGCTCGTAGAGGAAGATTCCGTAGCTCCACACGTCGCTCTTTGATGTGAGGCGGCCCGTTTGGATGTATTCGGGAGCCGCGTAACCCATGGTCCCCACCACCTGTTTTTTTTTTTCAGATAAAAATATATGAAAATTGAAGAAAAATTGAATGTTACTGGACTAAAGACCAATTAATGACAAATTTGTAGGAGTAAATGTCGAGTTAGGCTAAGATAGTGCATGAAATGGAAGGTTTTACGACCAAACTAATTGGACTTATGTGGTGTTTGATGAAAGATGAAAGATTTAGTTAGGGGGTGTATTCGTTCTTTGAGTGACATTTTGAGATTTTTTAAGATTTGAGACTTTGTAAGATTTTCAGATTTTGGAAGAGTCCTATGAAGTCTTAAGTCTCTACGTGAGATTTGAAGTGAGATTTCGCACAAGGTTTTTTCTTTTGAAATCTAAGCAAATCTTAAACTAATCTTATAACCAATTTCAGGTACTGAAATTAAATTATACACATCCAACAACCAGATAGCGCTAATTAAACAAGAAATTTCACACCAAATACACTCAGTAAGACGTGTTGTTTGTAATCTTTGACATGAAAAGGTCATGCATGATGTGAAAGAGTGGAAAAAGTTGGTTAAATGGAAAAGTGGGGCGTTATTGGATATATATCCAAGTATCTATCAGATCCGGGACCAAAGTGGAAAATTTCATTCTTGAATATTTACGTAATAAGATGACACACAAAGACAAAGTTCATCCATCTCTTAAAATCTTTTACTAGTTATAAAAATACTTATACAAGATTTAAGTTTATGAACTGTTTGCATACCGCAGTTGAGACATGGCTTAAGCCATCAGCAGGACCTAATCGAGCCAAACCGAAATCCGAAAGCTTCGCATTCCACTGCTCATCCAGAAGAATGTTTGACGACTTGAAATCTCTGAATATAATCTGCACCACAAAACCGCGTACTCAGCATACTTTGTGAAAAGTAATAATTAAAAATTTAAAAATAAAGTTATTATAAAAGAAAATGTTTCTTTGACGAAAATAAAAAGTATGCATGCACCTGAAATTCCATGCCTTCGTGAAGGTAAGCCAGTCCACGAGCCGCATCTTGGGCTATTTTCAATCGGGCAGCCCATGAGAGGGGCCCGGGAGTCCGGCCCAAGATGTGGTCTTGTACACTTCTATTGGGCATATATTCGTACACTAGAAGACGTTGAATTCCCCTCTCGTCGTCTTCTGCACAGTAACCGAGAAGTTTTACTAAGTTCGGATGTTCGACTATGCCGAGCACGTTCACTTCAGTCACCCATTCCTTATGCCCCTGCACAAATACATTGATAAATC